ACCTAAATAGGGATGGAGGGTCTAAAACACTACAACGCACACACACACAACCAGGAAGGGGAGGGAAAGGGGAGTTGGAGGGCAGCACAATACAGAATTACAAATGATCCATGCTCCCCAGGGCCATTTGGCCACCTTGGACCCAAAGCCATAAAGCTAACTGCTCCTACTTCTAATACAGAAGACGATGCCTAACATAGCCTTCTCTCCAACGCAATACCACAGCAGCCTCCAGCAGCAACAGGAAACCTCTCCAAAAAATGGAACCTCTAGCTGTCTGAGCTCCCATTATTTATCCCACATCTCCTGACATATTCCAGGTGAGACGCATTTGCCCTATAGCCCCAGAATCTCCAGATGTCTTAGGAAGTGTGAAATTCCTTGTCCTTGAATGTAATTTATGGTACCTTGTGTTTTCACATTGCATGCCTTATCGGGCCCTCCAGTGGCCTTGACACCTAGCTCTCCTGGAATCACCACCTAGTCTGGACAGCCCTTTGTCCAAGCCAGTCATTAACTCCTTCCCTAGTGAGAGGGTCCCAGGAAGCTTTTCCTTACATGTGTCATATTCGTATAATGAGCTTGGGAATCTCAAGGAACAAGCTTGCTCCTGTGAAGCAAAGGTCGCTGTCATGGAGAAACTAAGAGAGGCAGAGAGGTTGGTAGATGAGATCTTCAGAAATCAAGCAGTTATGTCCATATCCCTGGGAGAATGGGGAATTGAGGCAGGAATGGCATGATTCTGAGGAAAAGAGGGATAATCCTTTACAAAAGATGCATCCTTGGAAGATGAACAAATATCCTGTTCTGTTAACATTCCTCCAGTGGGGGGAGGGCCTTGTGGGAAATGGCAGATTTTATCATTAGACACACAGCTGGGCTTATGATGGGTGTGTCCTGGTAAATTGCATGCCTGGTGCCAGGTGTGCAGATATCACACACCGCGTAGGTAGCCTTGTAAGTAGTGCAATTTACTACTCATATGATTGAACAGCATCAGTACCAATTATATGGGGAAATGTAGCCATGAAGCCCCTGAAGCTCAGTTTAGTTGCTAGCCTGAAGTCCGAAGTCCAGGATTTCAGTGTGGTTATCTCCGAAAAGCTACTCTTCCATATGCTGAGCCAGCTAGGTAGGCAAAGCTGAGCAGAGCCAATGCATGGATGAGATAGGAGTGTAGAGAGAAGGTTTCACAAAACCTAAACCTGGAAAGGGTCCAGCGCAGGAGGAGTTGCTTTGAACATCAAGAGTTCATAATGTCCAGCAGACTGGAAAAGGGACAGTCTTTTCCAGGGGAGCACTGCACAGGAGAATACCTAGTTCCAGATTCCTAGGACTATGCTCTCACCCTGCCTGCCCCCCCAGACCGGAATGCTCAAGATGATCTTGAAACAGAGAGTGAAATCAAGGAGGCCTTCAGAGAAGGAGCTGTTGCAAAACATGGGTGACTTTGCCCCTACATCGATTGAATAAACTCATGTTCCAGTTCTGACAAAGAGGTTCAGTTTCTCAATGTCCCAACAGACTGTTCAGCTGGACATGAAACCAATCAGAAGGAAGGCAATTTAATCTTGGGGTCAGGGTGTTGCATAGGACCTAAAATGAGACATAAATGCCATTGAACCAGCTGGAAACTGACCACAGTGCTACTGAAGTAAATATCTATTCAAATGAAAACATCCCAGAGAAGGCCAACACAGTCACATTTGACTTCAGAAAAGGAACCTTTGCTACTGCAATCTGCTCCTGGTGTTAATCTGGCAGTAAGAATACATCTTCTCCATCTCTTATTTCCAGTTAGGTCTGTTAATTTTTATATTGTCACCTGGTGATGTCTATGTATACAGTCATCTAATGGATTGCCTGAAGTAGGTATTTGTGACAAGCAGATTGTTGCCTTCATGGAATTCTCTGAGTTATTCTCCTTCCTAGTTTCTGATAGGTCTGACAACATGAAGTTTTATATTGTTTACCTTTGCATTCCAGTTAACAGAGATTATTCTCTTGTTTTGGTATGTTATCTATTTCCTCGAGTGCTTACATATAAGGTTTTGATTTCTTCTTTTCTGGCATCTATTGTTGGATCATAGGCTTGAATTAAGATTATGGTGATAGGTTTTTCAACAATTCCTATTGGCCTGATAGGGTTGGACTCTGGCTATAATGCATAGCCCATTAGCCTATGCACTTCAACTACTGCAATGTTTAACTGTTCCATTTATTGCTTTATGTTTTCCAGTTTGCTTTTATTCTACTTCCTTCTGCCTCTTTTCATGTCAGCTACTATACTTCCTTTTAGCTCTGATCTAGTTGTGTCATTAGCAGCAGCACTAGTCGTACTTGTACTTTGCTCTCTCTTGCAGCTGACAAGTGCCTTCCAATCCAACCAGCTCTAGCCATCTTGGATGAGACTTATTATATAGGTTCATTTCAGTCAGGGTTCAGGTCAGGTTTTGGAACAGAAACAGCTTTGCTCAGCCTGTATGACGACTTCGGCGGGGCAAGAGACAGAAGGAGTTTGACCCCGTTGATATTCCTGGATCTCTTTGTAGCTTATATTTGAATGGCTGGTTCCACAGGGTGCTGCTTTAAGAATAATTGGCCCCTGGGATTCTTCAGTATTAGGTTCTTCAGGGGTTGGTTTTGTTCCCCTTCTACATGAAGCCACTGAGTGGGATCATCTAGAGTTTTGGAAAGCATGCTAATGACACAGCTCTACTTTTTATCCTCATAAAGTGAGTCTATGGATACTTTACATAATATTGGCTATGACAATATACAGAACAGGGCTAACAAACTAAAGCTCGATACAGACAAGACTAAGGTGTTGTTAGCAGGTAGCTCCCTTGATGGGTTGATTTTAACCTGTAAGGCATGACTTGCCTTTCCCTTGAACAAGAAGATTAATTGCTTGAGGATCTCCTTAGAGTCGTATCTGCTACTTGTGAATTAGGTGGTTTCAGTGGCACAGAGCGCTTTTGACAAGCTTCAGCTTGAGGCCCAGCTGTGTTCTTATCTGGACAAGGATAGCCTGGTTTCAGTACAATCTAGTACAAAATGTGGTAGTCAGACCAATAACTGCAGCTTGTACAAAATGTGGTAGCCAGACTAATAACTGTACACAGAAGGTTTGAATAGAAAAGGGTAATTCTGACCCACTTGATTTAGCTACCTATATGCTCCCAAGCCTGACACAAGGTGTTAGTTTTACCTTATAAAGACTTACACTGCTTGGGATCCCAATACCTGATGGTATACCTCTCTTGACTTGGAACTACCTAGACACTATGAACAACATTGGTCTTTTCACTCATATCAAACTTTTTCCTTGTCAAATTTGGAATTGTCAGCTTTGGATCTTCTCCCCAAATGGAATGTATGCACTTCTTGAAATATCAAAACAAATAGTCTCCTACAGTAATGGCAGAGGTGTGGCACACAGTATCATTTTAATTACATGTTATTAGTTGGGCATGCAAAATTAAGTCTATGGGGAAAGTCAGATTTAGCAATTGGCAAGAAAGCTTGTTTGACAGACTTGAAGGGGGCATTGTAAAGGGGGGCACAGCTCCAACACGTTAGTCTCCTTGGTTTTGTCTGATTCTGAGGAGGAAGCCGGAGGGCGGGGAGGGAAGGGCAGCAGTTGATTTTGCAGCATCAAGGTTACCAAGTGAAGATACTTGGAGCATGAGAACCAGCCTGCCTTGGAAAAGGAAGGAGACGTATCAGAACTGGGTGGGGAGGAGATTGAGGGGGAGTTCTTTGTGTAGAGACAACAGATTGAGCAGATTAATTATGAAGTGTTCTGGCATTCCCTCTTCTAATTCCCAAGAGTCACGCTAGGGGTGGAATCTTTCTGAAAGGGAAGGAAGGAGATGTTTCAGTTAGGAATCAATGGGCAGATGTTTCATCCAAATCTCAAACAGAATTTTAATGCTGTTAAAATAACCTGTTAACCTCTATTAAAAGGACTGTGCCTTTAAGTCTTCTGTAGAGTGGAAAAGGGGTGGTGGGGAAAAGTCTTGCTCTGGAGAGCCAGGCTGATTTTTACTTTGGTTCAGCTTGTAGGTCTCATGGTAACTCTGTTATTTTCTGCTTTGTATGCTAAATAAGATTTGTCCACTGTGGTCAAACGGCAACACATACACTTGAAATGCCTGATGGAACCGAGGTTTGGCCTTGCAGCCTTTACAGCCTCAGAGACTCCTTTGTTACTGAGCATATTGAATGAGGCTGCAGTTGTACTGACCCACAGTTCCTATTTATAAATATCATTGGTGCATAAATAAGGCACAGAGTCTTAAGCAAGAATGTAATGACTATCGTATTTTTGCCCAATCAATGCATTGCTTTATTGGCATCTATCTCAGAAGGGATAATGGATCCCAGGTTGTTTCAGTAAAAACTGATGTTTTGCATATACTGGACACCATAAAGTCTTTTATATGGGTTTATCTAAATTGATCAATTTTTGTAGGTGTAATGAAGCTGATGTTTCTGTTACCCACATGTTCTGGGAATGCACAATGGCTGCTTTTTGGGGGAGGATGTGATAATTATAATAAAACTTTATGATGGAAAGTTGTTTAATATTTATAGACACGCACGTATTTTTTAATTATCTACTCATCATTTTGGACTTAATGTAAGGTCATTGTAAACAGGTTCTCCATGCCCTTTTGACAGTTAAAAGACAATCATTAGAGCTCTGGAAGGGCAAATGGGCACTTTTGATAACACAATGGGTTGAAGATTTGATGATGCTTTCAAGTTTTAAATGGATGGTCTTTAGGTGTAATCCAAAATTGATAAATATGTGGACATTTGTGGTGCCTTTGGAGAAGTCTAGGCATAACTCTCACTAAGAATAGTAATATGTTTTGCTGTATGTAAAATCTACAGGGCAACTAAATGCGGGAGCCTTATGGCTAATGGGGTGGGATAAAAATCCAAAGAACAAACAATAAATATATAATAATAGATTCAAATTTCATACAAGAAAACTTTAACACTTCATTTTATTTTATTAGTGTTTTTTACATTGGTTTTGAAACTCACAGTAACCCTTCCCCCGCAAAAACCCCATCCTATATTATTTCCCTTTTTTGGTGAGAAACCCTGTTATCTTAAAATATATTTCAAGAGATCAGTGCGTTTGGTATCGGTTACTCTCTGTCATTGTCTAGGGAATGCTGTGTCACTTTGCATGGCATTCAAAGCTGACTACTCAATTTCTATAACCCCATTTTATAGGCTGGTGAATTGTTACAAATTATTCATTTAATTTCTCTACTGCCCAATATTCAAAGCTCTCTGTACAGTTTACAGCAGTTCCTAAAACAAGACCACAATACAATAAAATACCATAACCTTTAAAAATAGTTAAAATTTAAAAATGTAACAGATAAAACAATATCTAACACAGCACAGACTCATCAAAACAGCTTGTCCAGTACTGCAGTTCTGAGCAATATAAGGCTTCAGCATTTTAAACAACTAATTTCAATTGATCACTTTTTTTCTTTTTTGCACCATCTATTTATTCTTTTGCTGTTACAGAGGAGATTCCCAGTAAACAAAGGAAAACAGTTCTTCATACATACAAATGACAACAAATAAGAATTTTAAGAAATTCTTTTTATATTTTGGATATACACAAGAATTCATTAAAGAGCCTATGCATAATATAAGCATTTCCCTCTTGCACTGAATTAAAAGGGGCGGGGGGAATCCAGGCTGATAAGGAAAAAGGGATGGAACTAGACAGGGAACCAGACAGGGAACCAGTTTCAGCACAAAGAGCCTTCCCATGGCCTCAATTGGCAACTGCAGGTTAACCTATTTTATGATTGTCCATGTGTCTATTTCTCTATTGAAAAATTATGATTCCCTTTGTGGGCTCACATTATATGTCCATGGCTAACAAGTTAAGCTAAAAGTTTTGCATAATGTGTTTGCCCCATTAGAAAAAATTCAATCAAAATTTATATGGGCAATTTTTTGTATGCCTAGCTGTGTCTCTAATGCTAGTATGCACTTACGAGATTCTGGTCTGATCAAAATAGAGGCTAGGGTAAGCCTCACCTCTATTAACTTTTGGCTCAGATTAAACTATTGCCCCCAGGGACTAACTTCTTTAATCCTTCAGGACTGTTTTTGATCATCCTGGCTAACTATAGTCCATCAAAAACTTACATCTCTAGGACTCTCACCACAGATTCTTATAGTAATGGGACTGGATCAGGCAATAGCAATTACCAAACAGAGAGTGTTAGATACTGAGTGGCAATGTGGTATCAGGAGAGAACCAGATTTTTTGGCACTGGAAAATACCAAATACATCATTGCGACAGCACTTTATGTATTGTTTTTGGAATCTCCCACTCTTCGAAGAGCCTCTTCTCTAGCGAGATGGCGAGTACTCCCCTCTGCAGTCTTGAGAGGAAATACTGTAAGATGCCAATGGCAGAGAGGGTTTGCCTTTGTGGTGCCAGAGAGGTTGAAACAATTGAACATGTTATTTTTTTACTGTTGATTTTATCAAGAAATACGGGGCAAGTTTATTTCTCATCTGGTTAGAAGGGGGCGAGGGAGATCTGATGCAGAGGTTGCTAGGATGTTCCTTAGAAGCACCAATGCCCAGTTAACAGCTTGCTGTGCTAGGTTTTTTGCAGCTGCCTGCAAGCGCTGCAAAAAATATCAGATGCAATGTTTTAAAATTTTAATGAGAAACTGTAACAGGTGATTCTAAACAATTTTGCATCGTTTTTTTTAAATATTTGGAGTATTTTAACCTATGGTATTTATTGTAAATTGCTTAAGAAGAACTAGCTGGTCGCTAACTATAATAAATTGGTGGTGTTGTAGACACAAGGTGTTTCCAGGTTGAAAGACCTATCAGTAACTTGGAAATCAGCCAAGAACAGTTTGTTCTTTATCTCTGCTCTACCACTGCTGGTGGTATCTCCCATGGGCAACAGAAAAAGCAGAAGGAAGCAGCCAGGCAGGCCTCAAAGATGACAAACAGGGCTCACACGTTGGTGTAAGATTCTGGAACGTTGGAGTCACTGTCCTCAGTATGCTGATGAAATGCAGCTTTGTTTCTCCTCTTCTTTTTCTGCAGGTGAGGCAGTGGATGTGCAAAACCAGTACCTGGCTATGCCAATGGACTGGATGAAGGTTAAGAAATTGAAGCTTAAGCTAGACAAGACTGAGACACTGTTGGGAGGGGATCTCTCTGACCTGATGCAGAGTGTTCAAAGTGTTTCAGATGGGGAGATGGAGTCCTCTTGAAGGAGTAGGTTTAGTCGGGGGGGGGGGGCTGTGCTCCTTGACCCATCTTTGTCACATGAGATGCAGGTGTCCTCAATGACATGGAATGTCTTCTACCAGTTTCAGCTGGCAGCTCAGCCTTGTCCCCATCGGGACAAGAATAACCTGGCTTTCTATGTAAGGCTGCCCTTGAATGGAGTTTAGAAAGTGCCGCTTGTGTAAATATGGTAGCTGGACTAATAACTGTGGTCTGAACACATAATACCAGTTCTGGCCTGCTTGCATTGCCTGCATGTACATTTCTGAGTCCTATTCAAGCTGTTAGTCTTAACCTATATGAAAAAAACAAAAACAAGAAGGAGAAGGGAAGTATTCCATTCCATTTTAACTGACGCTGTAGACATAATACTTTGGTTATGACAAAATAGAAAGGAAAATCTGGCATTATTTTAAAACAGGAATAAGTACAAAAAGGGAAATAACTGCTGAGGGAAATTGCATAAGCTGCCCTTCAGAATATAAGCACCTGGCTCTAGTCTGGTCCCCTTTGTCAGTACGACAAAATATGCTTTCTTTGGAAAACAGTGCATGAATGTCAATTTTATGTTGACAGGTCACTGGGAATTCACCCATCATCGTCATCTTCACTGCCGCTCCATGTATCTTGAAATGCAGGATTTAAGAACTTCTGAGACAGCAAATAAAAAGGAAGAGGGAAAATCACACTGTCAGGAGATTAACGTTGTCTATAACAATTTCTACTTGTTATATAATAAACTGAAAGCCCCCTTGCTACTAAAAATAGTAGCAAGAGAATTAACAATAAATACAGATAAAACGGCAAAGTTATATTTAAAAGATTAAAGCTCATCTAATTAAAAACATGTCAGTAAGAAATAGCAGATTACCAGCTACTCCACCACCAAATCAGTGCAGATGCCCCAAACCTGCCAGCATAAAAATATCTTTGCCTGGCAGTGGAAGGAGAACAGAGATGCAGCTAGCCAGGTCATCCTTGGCAGGGAGTTCTGGAGTCTAGGAGCAGCCACTGAAAGGGCCGCAGGAAGTCTCTTGCTGTGAGCACGGAAGGTGGTGCGGTATGACTGGCAAAGTTAATACATTTTGTTGCTTCAGGGTCATGATCAAGGACAGGTGGGAATGGCTTGTGTGGACTTGCCAAAGCCTTTCTGTAAAACCCAACCTGCCAGGTGTCAACTGCTTTGCTTAAGTAGTGCACCCTGGCAGCTAAAACAAAACCATTTAAATGTTTAGCACCTAAAAATTAGCAGCCAACTTTCAGACAGTGCTTTCAGTTCTGCATGTGTTTTATTCTATAGTTGATTCTCAAAATATTTTAATTTTTCCTGGCAAGCAAAAAGCTGAAGGAAGAAGGGAGGGAGAAGGTGTGCAGATATTGGGTTTAATCAATACTGCCAAAAAGGCAAGAAATAGTAGCCATGGACATATCAGGCATGCACATGATTTCCTATAGATAAGTCAGCCCACATAACCTTGAAACCTGAGCCCACATCACTTGTTGATCACTGTTAGGTATAAATACCATGGTCTTATAGAGCTCTAAGATTCATCTGGTCCTCCTGCACTGAAATGGCACACAGGTGAGCACTGAGACCAAGTGCAACTGAATGAAGCCACCATCTGCAACCTCACTGATCAGCTTCCGCAATGGTTAAACTGATCACTAATGTGTGCAAGTATTTCTTCCTTTACTGTAATAAACACAAGATAAACTTTGTCCACAGAAGCTCCAATACTAGCCCCTCTCCAGTGGAATGCTATTTACCTTTTCATCAGAAGTATCATCAGGTTCTGGCTGCCTCAGAGATGGGACCCAGGTAAGGATATTGCTGTCCCTGCCACTGCTATAAAGTTCCTGACATTAAGAAATACACAAAGCACAGAGTAATTACTGAATACTGCTAGAGGAAAGTTTGAGACAAATATAGAAAGGAGAATTTAATATTTGGAGTAAGGAAATTAAATATAATGAAATATCTCTTTGCTGCCTCAGCAAGTTCACCATGGTTAACAGCAAAATCTTAAAACATGTTTCCTCTAAGGCAGTTCCAGTGGGGCTTACTTGCTAGTAAGGGCATTCAGGATTGTATTCTTAATCACTATCAAACCAGACAGAATCAGCAGTTAGAATCAAGAACCACATAAATCCAAAATAAATGGAACTGAAAGAGGGATATAAGGATGAATTGTAGATAAATATATAAAAGTTATTAAGATTATAATTTCTCAATGCAATAGAATGTGCTTAATGCATTACTAGAAATAAATGTACGCTTCAGTTGCTTTCTGTCAATAATGTGGTATCACCTGCATATCTTAAATTACTGATGTATCTTTTACTGATTTTCATTCCTTCCTCTCATCCTAATCGAGCAAATGAGCAAGCTTGTTTGCTTGCTTTCTGATAAGTTCTGAGTACCGATTGAACAGACAGGGACAAAAAATTCACACCCATTTGACAACTTTGTCTATAGGCACCATTCTGTTTCTCCATATTCTTCACTAACTGTAGCTTCTTTTGCATGATACAGATTATGTATTAGGACAATCAAGTGCTGAAACACACCCATTTCTTTCAGGACAATCCATAGCTTCTCATGATCCACACAAAGACTTTGCTGTAGTCTATAAAACATAGACTGATAATCTTCTCAATCCAGTATCCAACATATATTTGTGATATGCTCTCAACTACCTCTTTTTGGAATCCAGATAGGATAAATTATTTGTTTCAACACCTTGGACATTACTTTGCCTGGCTGATGTCAATCAAGTTTAGTAATGTAAATCTGTTCTTTATATGGACCTAAAATTTCTCAAAAATGTTATTGAAGTTATATTTTGGCACTATAGTTCTCTTAGTGATCTGTTTCACTTTTTCTGTGCATTGATATTAATAGTTCTTGTCACTACTGCAATCTGCTCCTGTGTTGTTTTGGCAGCAAGAATACAGCCATTTCCTACCTCCAATTGCATAGTGTGTGTGATTTCTCTATTGGCGATTGGGTGATGTCCATGTGTGCAGTCATCTGATTAGTTGTTTGTGGTACATATTTGAGATAAACAAATTGTTCCCTTTGCAGAATTCGGTGTGTTTCCATGCTTTGTTTCTGACCCCTAGGCCAAATGCTTCCACAATATGAGGTTTTGCTTCCCTACTTTTGCATTCCAGTCAACAGTGATCTATTCACATGCTTTGGTGTTATCAATTTCCTCTTGGAGGCTTACATATGAGTTTCTGATTTCTTCTACTTTGGCATCTGTTGTTGGAATGTAGGCTTGAATTATGGTTTGGGTGATAGGTTTTCTGAGAGTTCTGTTTGATATGATTTGGTTGGACATCACATCATAGTGCCTTATTGCCTGTGCTACATCTTGCCTCAAACAGTAGGGCCATTCTATTTCTTTTGAGTTTGTCACTTCCAGAGTAAAACAATTCATGCTTGTTTGACTGAAAATATTCCATTCCTGTGTACTTTAGCTTACTCACACCAAATACTGTGATATTAAGACAGTCTATTTCTTGTTTTACACTTTCCAGTTTGATTCATACCTCTCACATTCCATGGTCAGTTTTATACGATATGCATCTCTCCTTCTGCTTTTGTATATATCAGCCACCAGACTTCCTTTTGGTGTTGATCTAGTTGCATCATTAACAGCAGCACTAATGGTAGTTCTCCTTTAGTGAACTACTTCTTCCTCAGAAGTTTTTTGACCTGTGCAGGGGTGGAGGAAATCTCATCTTCTGGCACTATATCTTGTTTCATCTTGGATTGTTTCATCAAAGGGTTTTCAAGGGAAGAAAATTCTAACGGTTTACCATTGCTTCCTTCTGTGCAATACTAACGAGAATTAGGTTGTCACTTCTGCTGCCTGTGAAAGATCTTGCACCAGTGTAGCTTTCAACTACTGTTGCTGCCCAATGGCTGCCCTTTAGGAGTTTCTCTGACCCCATTGCCATTAGACATATTCATTCTCATCAGCTGATGTGACCATTTCTCCTGAAGATAAGTGGCTGCATTGCATTGTAGCCTGGTGCCTCAGTTTTGACCATTCCACCTTGGGTGACACAGCTAGGACACCAGACTAATGAGAGAGTTTGGTCTTCTGGAGGCATTGGTCTGACACTCTCAAATTGTGTCACCATGATAAGGTGTACTTCCAAGAAGGGGATTTCTTATAATGCATTTATTGTAAAACCATGACTGATTTAAGTTCATTTATTTTCTCTTTTTCTTCTTACTTCAGAATCGTATTTTACTAAGGTTGAAACTTAGAATGGTTTTAATTACTAGGACAATCAGCTATACTTTTATTAACTAACTGATGGGGTTTGAAGTTCACACTTGCTTGTTTTAACCTATTTTGTTTCTAGTGTGTTAGTGTAAAAGAGAGTACAGAAAGAAAATATTAGAACAAAGGAAGTTTAAAAAGAAAGGAAGAAAGAAAATGACATTTTCTTCTGTTCATCTATTATTTGTATTTATTTAATAGTTTAATATATCCCCTGAGAGATCTATGAATAGTCCAAGTGCCCATGTCAAAATATTTTGATTATCTGGACATCTTACACAAATTATGATATCTTAAAATTGCTAGCCTTATGAGCAATTACAGGGGTATTTAGTAGATGGCAACTCTCCCCAATCCCCTTTCAAAGCCAATAATTACATCATAATGTACATGGATGAAATAAGCATGATCTCTAGGGAAGAGTGCACATAGTTCCAGAATGTCCAATCTGTCTGACTCTATTGGGACTTTCCTTCTTTTTGAGCCCTTCAAAAAAGGCAGAACAGGGACTAGTAATTACATGGTAATGTTCATGGCTGAAACTGGTACCACTTTGAGACAACACGGAGAACCTCCATGTACCTTAAAATATCCAATCTGATTTCTTCACTGAAAACCAACTTGAGATCACAGAACTTTATACAGTAAGTCACAATAATTTCTAAGATACTTAAGAGTCTTTGAAAATAGACTTTTAAATTTGAGCTATTTTAGCTTAGCAAATAAAGTCAAACATTTATCTTTTTCCAGAAGAATACTTCAGTATTTCTTTAATCAGTTATGAAAATACAGGAAACATAATGTATGCCCCAGAAAACCCCAACATGAAATCACTGTTTACTCCTTGTTGTCCAATTGCAAAAGAAGGAAAAGTATTCTTATTTCTTTCCAAAATCTTCCTTTTTCTTTTAAAGTCCCATCTACGAAGCAATGAAATTCAGGAAGATTTTTGCGCAACTGATGTGACCAATGAGTCTGGTAGGTTTCTTGTATCTAAGTACCTGTACCTGTTTGACTGTAAACTGATTTCCATCTAGACACTTGCTTCATTTAAGTGTGGAATGTCCCCAGAAGAATGACCCCTCCACCCACCTATGCCACTATCCCCTCTAAGACCTGCTGTGATCTTTCAGCAGTTTCCAACACCATTAACCATTGTATTTCTCCTGGAATGATTGTCTGAATCAGAAGTGGGAGGCACTTAACTATAGGAGGCAGATGTGAAATCCATCAAGCATCGGGAATAACGTATCAAACTTAGGCCACTGAAAATTAAAATTATTGCAGGAAAAGTTATTTGCCCATATCTTGTACTAGCAGAGTTATGAGAAAGTTAATTTAAGTTCTTTGGAAGTGATGCTGAACAAAATTTTGAGATTTGCCCCAGTATACTCTAGCTATAATGTTTTAAGCTAAAAGTTGGTATGCTATTTATTAAAGTTATATACATAAGAAGCTGTTTGTGTGCTACAAGCATATGACCAGTGATGCACTACCAAAGCCATGCTTCCAGGAATAATTGGGCCTAGAACGTCAGAAAGAGCAGAGTGAAGATCTGCCCAAGGATTAGAACATTTTGTTTCAGATATTAGAGAGAAGTGACTTGAAGCACTTGGCAATTAATCTTATTGATAAGGTGTTTGACCAGGTTATGAAAAATGTAGCAAATGCCTGTTTTCGTTATGGCATAGGCACACCACAGTAAATCACACTCTGAAACATTATGTATATGAATTTACACTTCTTTCTTTAAAAAGGCCTTTTCCAAGCTGCATTCTGAACCATGCCTACTGCCTATTCAGAAGGAAGACTCTTCAAAGTTCCATGGGACCAATATCTTTCTTTTTATGGGTGAAGAGTATCTGTCATGATTCCTTGTACAGCCCAGTGTACAGGGCACTAGAGGGAAATTATTTTGCTTTCTTGTCTGGAAATGTGAGATTCTGAGAAAGTGAAATGCTTTTGGATGATCTTACAAAGATGTTACATACTAAGTTTATTTGTAGTAGCTGCCTTCAAAATTAGATGGAACTATTGATAGGCAGATTTATTAGTGGCAGGATGATCTGATCTGAATCTTTACTGATTCTTCCTTTTCCCTTTTTTGTGATGATCCTTGGTTTTAAATAAGTAAAAAAATATCAATTGAACGCTTTGCTGAAACTTTAGAATTAAAACTGGTCCACAATGGAGCTCACTCTGCCTTAAATGCTGATGCTGTCATCCATGTAATATCAAGCACAATGAAACCTTTGCCATAGTCAAGTGGTACAAACCTACTCCTTAATGATTTTAGGATGCTTCTAGACAAGTCCTTCATTGTGAATCACCCTTCCTTCCTTATTCTGAAGGGGGCATTCAAACCGTCTCCTTTTCCATTTGTAACTTTTTTCTTTTCACAGTAAATCCATTAAGGAGGAAATATGACATAGCTGCATAATGTCAATTGATCAGTGGTGCTAGAAGACTTCACTCTGAAAGCACCCTTGGTGTACTCCTGTATTGTTTCAGTTTCTAACTGAAAGCTGTAAGAGTTATTCTTATCTGTTTTGATATTGAGAGCCTTGGTATATTCTCGGTCATTACATCTTGTAAAACAAGGGAAGTTTGCTCAATCTGGCCCATGGAGGGCTGAACACCTCTGCATGCTCTTCTTCTTCCCATACCTCTGTCTGTAGAGACAGCAGATAACCAAGGAATTCTCTCACACTCAGCTGGCGTTTATACTACCTGCTCCAACAAGTGAGGCTGAATCTCTCCCTCTGTGCAGAGAGAGGCATATTCTTCTTCCTTCTTTCTGCACACAGAGAAAAAAACAGGTGGGGTGAACGTGAGGACAAATAAGGGGGCTTGGTGGCAGGCACTGCCATGGCATTGTCCAGCCTATTGGTTTAGCCTATGCGGAAGTAATCAAGGCCAAATGATGTTTCCTACCCTTATTCTATAGACACTTCTGAACTAGTCCATAGGAACTGTTTTGAAATCAGACATCAACTGTGTCCTTGAGAGTTCCTTTCCCATCAAAGGTGTTGACACATGCATCATTTCCCTAGCGGCTCCTTTTATTAACTGCTGGGGTCAGTTCATTCCTTCGGCTCATCAAGCAATGTAAATGCTATTTCAATCTGTCCTCCTTCAATAACTTAGTCAGCATGCAGAACATTTCAAAATATAAAGGCCCTTTCTATTGTTAGTGATACTTTTCATTTGTAACAACAACTGGAAATGTATCACTCACTCCGCATGCCCATTTATTACAACATGCACAATATCTTGGCTTCCCTTTCTCCACTCAGAGTGAGGCAGAGAGTTTTGTGCCTGGAACCCCGTACCAAGCTTGTTGCTAAAGGAATTCCATGGCTCCCTATCCGGTGGCTGCTCATGAATGAGAAGGCTTCTTTATCAAGCCCCCAAAACATAAGTACCAATCCATTTCTGGAACTGTATCATCAATGTCAACAATGTCCTACTTAATTCTGTACAGTAGAAACTGTTTTGACTTTAATAATGGTCTGATTTGGAGTTATTCCCATGTAAAGGAACCAGAATAGATATTTTAAGATACAGGAAGGTGATCTTTACCATAAAATATCCATTTCAGTCATGTACCTAATTATTAATAGTTCCCATTATCCATTTTTGGGTGACTTGGAAAAAGTTACATCCCAACAAAGTCGACTGATTGGACAGTCTGGAATTACATAATTATTCTTCAGCAGATACAGCTTCTTTCATCCATGACCCTTATGAGGTAATTATTGATCCCAAAAAGAAGGGTTGGGGGGACTGCCAGCTGTTCAACAATCCAGCAATATTTTGTAAGGCTGGACGTTTTAGATATGTCACAACCATTATAACAAATCCATAGAGTCAAACCTTTTGTACCTTATTACATAAATATTTTGACATGTTCCCTGGGATTAAAATATAAGTAGTTTACAAAGAAAGATTTACATATACTAAAATACATATAAAATGGATATAAAACATTTATAAAGACAATAAAAACAAGCAGTAAACTCACTATAATTATAAAATCATCTACCAGTGGAACCATACAAAGTACTTGTTAAAACTGGTGTCAAAGTGAGGTCAACAATAACAACCTGAGACCTAACAGTAACATGACCAATAGTTTAAGCCAATCTTCCTCCACCGTGTGCCTTACAGATGTGGACTACAATTCCCAACATCCCTAGCCAATGTGGACAATAAACTGAGGATTTTTTTTTCATAACAAGCTGACAGAACGTCGTGGCTTTGCCCCATTAAACAAGTTCAGAATACTATTTTAGCAGTCTTCTACAAGATTAAGTTGACACTGAGCTATCAAGGTGTTGGGACAAGACACCTCCAAGAAAAGTTTTTTTTTTTAATAAGTCAGGGTATTTCTAAATTAAGCATTATGGATTTAGCAACCTTACTGCTCTTTATATCATAATTTAAAAATATTTCCTGTGGAGTCTTATTTAAACTAAGCACACCCAAATAACAGTCCATTATTTTAAAGTCAGCTTGTCTAGCAACTTGCTTAAGTGGTCAAAAATCCCCCAAAGACTTCACTTACCTGGAAATCAGGTTGAAAAACACAGCAGTCAACGGAATTATAATGCCCCCTAAGCACAGATATGAGTTCTCCTGAATAAATTGTGTAAATAGCAACAGTATTACCACATGGCACAAATGCAAACTCTGGACTGCAGCCACGAGACACAGTGAATTTTAGTCCTTTTCTACTTTCATTGCACACCTTCCCATAATTTACCTGTAAAGATACAAAACCACAAAATGAGCCCTTAATTAAACCCCTACTTAAAACTGCCACCACCCCGACCATCTTTCCAGCCGGCTTAAGTAATTGCCTAGGGAAGCTTCATGTTCCATTGACTAGCCCACAGACTGACTACAAGTTTTAAATGCCCAACTAGTAAAAAAGAAAAAGATGCACAAAAAATAAGGCACAAGTTAGAGGAGGGACTGCTGTCTCCGATACTCTCATGTTTTTCAACCTCTTCAGTCATAAGAGCTTAAATAATATACATGCACACATATGCATGTTAAGATACACTGCAACATTTTGTTGCAGGGCCCTGCTTGTATATACTGATACCATTCTGCATCTGTCAGTGCTCGTGCTTACATAACTAAAACTGTAATACTCAGAGAGAGGGACTGGAAGACTCAGGGTAGCCCTGAAGTCTGCAAATGCCCAAAGAATCAAGGGTAAATCCCAAGGACTTCTCTAAATGAGGTATTTAAGCTGCTTATTTCCCAAGGCATCTTTTTTTTTTTTTTTGGTGGAAATAGGAACTTATTTATTTATTTTATTATTTTATTTATTAAAACATTTTTATGCCGCCCCATTCACCGAAGCCTCGGGGCGGCTTACAACAGATAAGTTAAATAACATTTTAAAATATATACATTAAAATAAATTACAAATATACAATATAAAATAAGCCGCCCTGGCCAGAAAAATTCAATAATATTAACATTTAAAATGCTGCTTGAATAAAAAGGTCTTCGCCTGGCGCCGAAAAACTTATCCTTTACACATGGTTTTTTCACTCCATTTTCTCCCTTTCTATATATTCCTATGTATTCCATTACACAATCACACAGTGGTATAGTGTGGAATTGCAAATAGAGACAACTTTTTTCTGATTCATTCTGACTTCCCAGGTGATAGCTGACTTCCCTCATGCTAGAAAGGCAGAGGAAATATCTGCCAAACACAGGAGGGACCCTGGAGCATGACCTCATTAAATTAATCTGCAGCCTTCTATGAGCAAAGAAGCACAAGCACATGATAATTAAGACTAATGAAGAAAAAAAATTAAGGCTGAGATTGTGATGTTAAAACCCTGGAAGACAGGAAAGGGAGGAGGCTGGAGTGGCTGGCACCAGAGGACAGGGAAGTCAAGATATTGTATCTTCCCTGCAGTGGGAGGTTCAGTGATTTCACAGGATATGGAAGGGCAGCATCTGTTGTGAGATGGATGCTGGCCTTGGGTAAATGTTCTCATGGACTGCTGGCTACACCACAGAGCATGCTTCGGAATCAGAAAGTGAATTAGAGTAAGGTGGAATTGGGGAGGATAGCTTAGGTCAAGATTCTGGGATGGAGCAGGTACAGGCGATTATCTCAAGGCTGGATTGCCTTGTTGGGCCAGACAGTCTCTGGGAACATTCACAATGTACAGCTAGTGGAAGGGGCTGCTCAGATGCAGGCCAGGCCTCTGCTGTCAGCCCCATGGCAAGGCATCACCAGAGACGGGAGCCCCAGTTGCAGGAGCAGTGTACAGAGAGGAGGTGTGCTTGCCTGCAGAGAGGGCTGGGGCCCATGCATGTTCATAAGGAGAGTTTATGAAAGTAAACACCAGATTGGGTGCAACAAACTGCTCTGTGCATGCTCAGAGATCCACTCTGGGTGATCTGTACTTGGAAGCAGTAAAGGACATTTTGCAAGGAAAACAATCCTTGCAAAAATGGCTGGTGATTGTTCGGAGGAGAAAGTTCAGCTCCAACAAAATCTATCTAGAAATTAGATTGTATGGAGTGATTTGTGAGGTGGATGGGGCAGCCTTCACAAGCGGTTTGGACCAACTACTCATTATTTTTATTATTACATTTTGAAAAAAAGATATTTTAAAAAAGTGAACATTCCACTGAGTAGGTAAAAGGGGCCAGAATCAGGTCAATTGAAACAATGCTATATGGCCACATTGCCTTGTTTCCAGGGACACTGAATGAGAAAAAAGATGGTTCCTCACTGGTTTTCTTTTATACTTTAATATCTGATACATGATTAACAAATATGTTTTTGAGAGACCACTGGCTCAATTACATGAGTTTTTGCTAGTTCAAATTAGTTCCTAGAGACTTTTAAAGCTAGAATTTCCTTCTATATGTCTGAAAGCCAGAAGAAGTTGGAGAAAGGCAATCCGATTCACAGGGCAACTGGCACCTGTCTGAACAATGATGCTGACAGAGAATGAAAGACTCCTCGCCCTTGAGACCAAATACTGTAATATGATACTGCTACCAAGGCAAACATCCACCTGAGTAATAAACCAAGATAATAAAACTTCAGACAAAGGTCCATTAACTTTGTCAATATTTCAAACACAGTCTAGAATACCATGAAAAGTTTTGCTGTGTGCAACAAAAAGGCTGGCTAGGTTAGTGTAAATCTGTTCATATTTAAAGGGGCACCAGTCTCTTTAGTTGCTATTATAGCAATTATCTAGAATGAGAAAACCTGATATTACCACTGCTAGCAAGCTTGGAGATGCCCAAGAACAAAAGCAGGACTATTTCCTCTTGCTGCCAAAGATTTCCTCACCAAGTCTGAGTAAAGCAAAGAGGCCCAGCAGGAAGAAGAGGGAGTGTTAGGGAAACAGTGAGTAATTTGTCTCATAGCTATACACAGCCTGTTTTGTGTTGCAGATTGTTTTCATACATAAGAGCTGCTGATCTGTTTATTAGGGTTTCAAAACATTTACTGTGACAAGCCTTTAGAGATTTTATTTTGATATTTCACAACTGCACAATGTGATACATGCTTTCATAAAAGCAAGCAGAAAAGCAAGATCTCTTGCTAAATGTATACACCCACTTACAACAGAAATGTATGATTGTCAAGGGGAGAATAAGATGCAACAAGTCTTCTACAATTTTTTTTTAACTAGCAGTAGTACAAAGAGAAAGTGCAACAGCTTGGAAAGCTTAGTAATTTTTTAACCACTATATAGAAAGCTTGAATCAAAGAAAGCCTTTGAGATAATTTTGTAACCAGTCCCCACTTATTCTCTGTAAAAGGTATTTTGAGAAAGGAATATCTGGACAGGATGGAATAAATAAAAATAGGAGAAAACCCATGAAGGACAGTTTTGTAAATTATCCAACTATAAACAAAAACATCTATTATTGGTGGCAAAATGGACTGTATCTCTTCAAATCGCATATTTTGAAAAGTGATGTCCAGAAAATCCTCTCGAAGTGAAAAACTAACATAAAATGCTAGTCTGCTACTTTGCCCACTACATTTATTTTCTACCTGCAGGGAAACATTCAAAGATGGAATGGTGCAGCCAGAAATTGTACAGATCATTCATCCTCCTCAGAATTTTCTTTTCTAAACTGGTGTCTCCAGATGTTT